CCATAAATCTGCCTCAGCACCTCTAATTTCCAACTCCTATGTCATCACTAAGCCATTTTCAATGGAAATATATTTGTGGATAGCCACCTATTCTTGTGGATTAGACTCTTCTGCCGTGCTGTTTCACACAAAATCCACAAATGTGTGACTCGTGTCTGTAAAACACATTTCCCAAATAAATGCAGAGTGATTTGATCTGTAAATCTTTTGCAATTCCAATCATAGATGTTTTTTTCTTTACAAAAATAGTTTTAGAGCGGCATGTTGTTGAACGTTAGTGTGTCTGTAAGATGCATACGCTACAACTGCAACATCCAAAGTTGGATTCAACTTGGAGACTTTTGTTGCATGTCACTCCTCTTTCTATTGCCACATTTCTTGTCTGCTGCTTTAATATCCACTCTCTAATGAAGGTGAAAAGGCCAAAAGAAAATTATTTTGGGAAATGTAGGAAGTCATTAACTGAAGCAGATGAGACTGGACATCGTTAAAGAACAAACGTCTCCCACATATTGATCATATTTAGTGGCAGATGGTGACATTTTAGTGAAAGCACATTTCACCAGCTCACAATCTGCTGGTAATAATAATAATTGCTCCTATGCTCTGTTATTTTACCTTCATGATTCTCAGATGCCTGCTGTGAGGACTAGAACATGTTCAATGAAGTTCATCTTTCAAACTGCAGCGTGATGAGAGCGACTGCAGAGCTCACAGACAGCAGCAGTGATCGTTGTGGTTGCAACTCATTCATCGCAGCCTGGGATGAGTCCTTGTGTTCTCCGCCAGAGGCTTTTCTGGCATGCTGTGAATATGGAGCCAAAGGCAGTCGGGGGTTTCGAAGGTTAACCATCTGGAATGGTGCATTATTTAATGTTGCATATGCTGAGACAAGCTGGCTCTGAGATTCGTCATACTTCCCACCACCAAGGTGCTCCCATTATCTCAGTCATGTCTGGGTGTTTTTTTATGTGTATGACAGGACAGGTCAGATCTGTCACAAACTTCTGTCAGGGAGGAGCATTTTAACTCTGGCTTTTAAAGCTCAGAACGCTCTTCACACACACTGCTTTGAGACTCCGTTTGAAGCAGGTATGTGGATGTTTCGAGGGACAGAAACTTAGATTCAGAAGCACTTTGTGATGTTGTTTAATCAGAGCACTGGAACTGAACCACATCAACAATCTAAAATGTCTTCATGTCCAAGATTTTTTACATATTATCCGTGTACCTCTGACTACAAGCTGCCCACTCCCATCTGTCTTTGCCTGATTCTGAGAGCCGTTTCTGCTTAGCTCAGAGAAAAACAACTGGGGTATCATTTCACTGATAAAAACATGTGACCAAACAGCGTCGTGTCTGAAGGAAGCCAACAGGAAAGCAACCAGAAAATGTAGAACCCCCCCCCCCGAAAGTCTTTTGTTACTCCATTACATGGTAGCACAGATCCTGAATCTGAATCTGATGGAACCCAGACATTTCAGTCACTCAGTTGTGACAGGAGAATGTTGATATAACAAACTCTTCTTCCTGTTATGAACTCTGTAACCCGCTGGGCGTCCAGTACCGTGACACACAGAATAACGGTCCCAGTCCTGGAGCAAAATTTGACGAAACAGGCACTTTTACCATCTGTGCCCCCAGACCTGAAGGCCCCTGGTTCACTATGTAGCAACTACTTGTGGTAATTTCATGAATTGCACATAATCACAATTACATTTAAGACTAAATACTAAATCTGGTATTAATACCTAGTTCACCAGATTGGGACGTAAATGCAACTTGGTATACAACACATTAGAGTGGGAGGGATCCAGGACCTGGTCTAGTCATTGCCTGCTCTGCGCTGTTCTCACCCAGTCTTACACTACAACAGTGAAAACAAATGTATAATAACCCATGATGTTTGACTTAGGAGCTACATGTGAGGAACAAGTGAAGGGCACCTTGCCTCTCCACACATTCAGCACTGAACTCCACCGTAACTGTATATGTGGTTTGGTTTCAGCTTTTTTTCTCCTTCCAATTCTTTTTCAGTACATAAACATTGTGTGTCACCGACATGATTGGAAATGTCTCATAGTTTCTTTAATGGCGTTTTGGTGTTAGTCCATTGTTACATCCATGACTACTTTTCACTGCTGTCGCAAATTACTGGACTATTTAAGAAAACCTGTTTCTCAAAGGCACACGAAGGACAAATATAACAGTGACCACGGAGACCATCAAGGGGAAAACATCACTGCAGTGTTGTCAGAGAGTGTGTAATTACATGCAGTCATAAGTCACCCGGGTTGACATGGATTCATGCTGGAGAGCTCTGGGTTTCTTCCTTCCTCTTCTTCCACCGAGGGCAGAGAATTAACTTTATTCTCCAGGGACAGTTTATGCTTAAATCAATACTCACTACTGCTTGATTATCCCTAAGACATAGGTGATGAGATAGTAAATATCTATGAAGTAATGTTTGCTTTGAGCTGATATTCTCTGGCCTGACCCTGGTATGTGGCAGTGTCTGATGATAACGAATAGCATTCCCATTTCCTATCACCCACTCTGATCCGAACACGTCTCCACAGTGGCCTCCCAATACTTGTCAGAGGCAGAGAAGAGAATTCAGGCCTGTCAGTTTCACAGATTACAAGTTTCATATAGCTTGCTCTGGGTTGTACCATTTAAATGCTTTGCCTCTCATGCTTTCTGTTCTCGCAGGGCATTTATGAAGTTTACAATAATTACAGGGGAAGATTTACCATAGAATTTGTTTTGTAATTTTTTAAACAATAGGTCCTTTATTTTTAACAGATGTAGGCAAAATTATATTGTTAGCAAGCTAATTAAGCTACATTTACTGTAGCTCCATGAGCTGACTTGCCAAACAGATTGCAGGTTTATTGTTGATTATGTAACGTTACAGTTTTACTCAGTTAACATTACACTGCTCAGAGACTTGAGACTTGGACTCTAGCTCAGAGACTTGAGACTTGACTTGGACTCTAGCTCAGAGACTTGAGACTTGAGACTTGGACTCTAGCTCAGAGACTTGAGACTTGAGACTTGGACTCTAGCTCAGAGACTTGAGATTTGACTTGGACTCTAGCTCAGAGACTTGAGACTTGACTTGGACTCTAGCTCAGAGACTTGAGACTTGACTTGGACTCTAGCTCAGAGACTTGAGACTTGGACTCTAGCTCAGAGACTTGAGACTTGACTTGGACTCTAGCTCAGAGACTTGAGACTTGACTTGGACTCTTGCTCAGAGACTTGAGATTTGACTTGGACTCTTGCTCAGAGACTTCAGACTTGACTTGGACTCTAGCTCAGAGACTTGAGACTTGACTTGGACTCTTGCTCAGAGACTTGAGACTTGACTTGGACTCTAGCTCAGAGACTTGAGACTTGACTTGGACTCTTGCTCAGAGACTTGAGACTTGACTTGGACTCTAGCTCAAAGACTTTTGAGCATCTCTGGTGTATAGAGACTGTAATGCTAAAACACAAGCCTGGCTGGGGTTGCTGGAGTGTAAACTTCCCCACATCTAATAAAGAGAAGGACACAGCGGCTAACGTTAACCTACACTCTAATAGCATCCAAGACAAGCTTCTCACAGTGACTTAAACTGTGCTTCACACTACATACACATTATATACTTACACACTTCATACTTCACACAGTGAATGTTGCTGGGGGAGAACAAGGCTTTTATAATGTATTTCTAAACCCCCAAAATACTGTAGCATGAAACGCTCTCATTCCTTGGATGTAATCTTAGTAAACCAATTAGCCGGACATGCTAACATTGACACAGGGCCACAATGCACCCCCTAAAACCAGGCATTATATAAAAAAAAAAAAAATCAGTTGATAAAAAAGTGTGATGCAGACTTGCAGCTGAGAGAGAGAGAGCTGTGGACGAGTGTGAACGAGGGAGCGTGCAAATATGTGTTGACGTGATATAAAAGCAAACTAACTCTACAGTTTTGTGGTTTATGTGTGAAGAGTATGAACTACACTGCAGGCTGGGTTCTTTATTAACAGTGACAGACAGACGGGTAGAGCCGCGTTATATACCCTCGTCGCCTCTATGAAACGTATCCTCACCGCTGCATTATTGCATTGCATTGCATTTATTGCACTGCATTATTATAAACTATGATGAATGGTCGTGGGTCACATCTGTCCCCCTGCATCCAGGCCAACTCTTTAAATCCAGAGTACGTCTCTTACCAGCCCCATGCACACCACTTAAGCATTGCAGGGCTTTCGTGCTAAGTTATGGTTGTGAAGCTACGATTGGACAATTGCTGTTCAGAGATGGAGCTTAGCGAGCGGTCATCTATGTCTGCGATTGCAGAGAAGTCTCCTCCTTCTCCTACTGTATTCTATTGAATTCATATCCAGCCTGCAGAGATTGGATCGAGTTCCTCCTCTTCTAGATGCGTGAGTGACTTGGCGTGGACCCCAGTAACAAAACTGTAGCTCTCCCAAGTCTCCAAACAGCATCTGAATGTGTTACAATGGCCTCAGCCTGTTGTTTTCCTGCTAATCAGCAGCAGATGTGCACAGTTTGCATACATGTTCTCTCGTGTTCTTCGGCTGTGTTTTGTGTGCACATACGCTGTCTTAGTCCAGAGCAGTGCAGAGCAGAGACAGTTTGTTGTTCTTTGTGTGGCAGCAGCAGAAGCAGCAGCTCAGCCTGCTCCGCTATGATGTCATTGGTTGCTGGTTGTGAAATGCTTGAGGAAATGAGAACCTTATTGAACCCGAGCTGAGTGCTGCTTATTTCTTCTCCATCTCTTGTGTAGCCTTATCTTCAGTGGTGTAGTTTGATCTTGTTATCTCTTTATCTCCAGCAGTTATTTCAATTCAGACATACCCCTGAGAAATACATCTTAGACTTGGCTCTAACATTGTGTTTAAATGCACCTCCATTGTTCTGATGAGCCTTTAATGGTTATTGACACGAACCGATGTTGTTGTTGCTTTTCTGTTTTGACAGAGCACCGCATCTCTGAGTCATCTCTCTGTTGAGGACCTCAGAGAACCCCTGCCACCTCTCTGGAAATGCTACATGTCTCCACAAGGGCGGCGATACTACGTCAACACCACAAGCAATGGTAAGAGTCAGTAAATTTAGGTGGGGTTACAGGTTGGAACTATTTTTGATAGATAACAGTTTATACATCCGCCCAGTACATATGTGCAGCACCTCTGGCTGTAGTCCTGGTTGCCGGATCAATGAGCACAGGTTTGTTTTGGTTTCAGCACAGGCACGGCATGGTATCAAACCGGGCAGCCTCACTGTGGTGACAACACTACAGGAAGCTACTCGGCGCCATTTTCAGTTGCTACTCACTAAGAAGTAGTTTGACAACATAACTAAACTCTCCCTAAAACCATAATCAGTCGTTTTTACATTTCTGTACCAGTTATGTAAAAAGTATACGTGTTAATTAGTGGCTAACTGTTTCCCCTGCTTCCAGCCTGTATGCTAAGCTAGGCAAATTGTTTCCGGACTTCACTTCCATACTTAACTCAGACATGAGACTGATATCCTTCGTGTCATCTTGCTCTCACAAAGAAAGCGAATAAGCGAATTTCCCATAATGCTGAACAGTGTATGTCATACAAGTGGCAGCATACTTCCACACTTGCATCGTTTTCAGCTTTTGCCCACATTCAGAAGGAAGGTTCTGTAGTAGGGCAGATTGATTTTGAAAAAATATCAAATTACAATTATTTTGACAGATTTTGAAATTGAGATATGATTTGCGATACTAGGGGGACTGATGATTTTTACATCATTATTCTCATTTTCATTGACAAACATATTAAAATGACGTGACACGACAATGTTTAATTTAAAATGGTATTTTGAAAATTGCAGTAGGAAAAATTGTGATTTTCATAAAATTTCAGTTGCTCAGCTCTGTTCTGTGTTGTTCTGATATAAGGAGCGTCTTTTTTTCTATGATTTCTGTGTGGATTAATGGACATTTTTTGCTCCTTTTGTGGAGGTGCGTCTCATAGTTTGAAAATCTCTGATCTACCACAATGTCGGAGGGAATAAAAGGATTTGTTTATGTGGCTGTAAAATATTTAGGAACAGGCGATGTCATCAACATGGCTTAAATGATCATTTCAGTTTATTACAATGTGGGTCCTATTTGTGTGACTTTAGCCAGCACTCCCATCTGTAATAATAGCACTGTACTCACGTTAGTCATCCAGTTAATGGCTAAGATATGGCATTTTTGGCGTCATCACTAAAAATAAGTCTTGACTGTGCAAGAAACAAGAGAAGTCAGATGATCAGACAAACAAAGCCAAACACATTTATTAAAGTAAGACTAATTTAGAAGATGAGACAAATGTGAGTGGTAGAAATTATCACCCTTTGTTTGTCAACTCTTTGTTGTTAACATCCTTCACTGTTTGACATGCTTACCTACCATATTACTGTAGTCGTGTGCACACAGGTTTCCTGTGCAGTGACGATTACCACAGAAATGTTCTGTGTGCTCGCTTTTAAAGTGATAGAACTAATGAGAAAACTGATAAAGACTAATAGATGATTGCCCAAACTACAGAAATAGGAAAAGTTGTAATAAATGTGAATTATGCTTATATGTTTTCTAAACCCAGCTCCTCTAAAGATGTTTCGTAGCATCATTGCTGCTTTAAATCCTGTGCAGCTCCTGTGTGGCTCTTTGCTCCTACATTTTGTAAATGTTGCTGTCAAGTTTGGATTTTTTTACCTTCTGTGAGCGCAGCCTGGCAGTGGAATTAAATTATAAGCATGATGAATCCATATTGTCTACATCATGTAGATCAGCACATTCTTTAATGCAGGTCCACATACTGTTGAACCGGTCATGTCTTTGCATACAGTGCAGTTTGTAGTGCTCATTGGGCATTTTACTTGCCAGTTACAAATGACAGTACTGTGATTTGCTGGGGCTGCTCTGTGATTCCTTTTTATCA